TATATATATATTTAAAAAGATTGTTCACCCAGAAACTCATTCCAAAACCACATGACATGCTTTCTTTAGTGGAAGACAATATTTTGTTTACAAGTTTTTTTGTTTTTGTTTTTTTAATGTGATAAAAAGTGATACTTTATATGGTCAAAGACCAAAAAAAAAAAAAGTATCTTAGAGGTAGTCCATATGACTCATTAATAATCAATCTTAATAAGGCTTCTAAAGTCATGGGACAGAGCAAAATTTAACTTATTCCTTTGTGTCACATGACCAATCATTTCACAGCTAGTATGAATCTCATTCATGAATCACAAATGAGATTTGATAACTAAACTGTAAAAAGAGGTGGTAACCTGCAATTATTACCTTTAAAACACATTTTTACCTGAATTAACCCATAAATATTAGTTTTGTTGGTATACATTAAGGAATTTATTTAAGATGATTCAGTAATGCAAAATAATATTTTTGTTGTGAAAAAAATCAGTTAATTTAGATTGTATTACTATGTTTAGGTTACTATTTTATTCAGTCCAAAGTGAACAAGGAGCTCAACCACATCTATCCCCATTCAATCTGCAAAACCTCTACTTATGTGTTCAATGAAAGAATAATCATTTTAATTTGAAACAACATGAAGCTGAGTAAATGACAGAATTTTCATTTCTGACTGAATCCTTATCTGTCCATAAAATGATGACAAAAAGCAGTAACTTTGTCATCCTGTCATCATGTGTGTGTGTGTGTGTGTGGATAAGCGCACCTTGACATGTTTTGCTGTTTGGAGTGTGTGTGAAGCCAATCTCACATTCACAGCGATAGCCGCCAGGAACATTGAGACACTGGCCGTTTTCACACAGATTCACGTCTTCAGCACACTCGTCCATATCTGCAGGATATCCAGACACCAGTGAATGATGATTTGTATGGTGTATGATGGAAGTATGTTGGTGTGGATGGACAGATTGAACAGATAGACAGACAGAAGGCTGAATGATAGACCTGAGCAGGTAAATCCGTCTCCAGTAAAGCCATCTGAACATCGACAGTGGTATGAGCCAGCTGTGTTCACACACTCCGCATCAGCGCTGCAGAAGTGAGTCCTGTCACTACACTCATCCATATCTACACAGTAAGATACATATTCAACAAGTGTGAATAATACTGAGAACCACTGATTTGATTGGAACTTTATACATGTATACTGTGTTGTGCATTTTGTAGATCATTTATTTCAATTAGATTTAAAGTGTTAATCTCACACTCATTAACATCTGGATCAGAGCATGAGAGATTACACTATATACAAATACTACTAGACACAGAAGACAGAAGAGAACAACACTGGTAAGTACAGCTCAACAGAGTTTTTAAAATGAGGCTTCTGCAGAGGAGAAAGCGATGATTACAGATATGGATATTATTGGAGAGTTCAGAGCATAGACTTAGCTGAATAATCACACTGGTGTCTTTGCAGGTGGTGATGGACCCGGAGAGCTGAGCAGACGACAGAAGATTAACAGGGAAGTAGATCAGGTTAAGGAGCCAGGGAGGTTGATGCACACATGTGAACAACAACACCAGACAGCTTGTGACTAGGCAGCTGGAGATGGATGTCCCTGGTGGAAAACCAGACCTTTTGACCCGGATGGTACTGGGTAGCATTGGAACGGTGAGCATCGGCCTGGCTTTTATGTCTCTGCACTGCCTGTTGCAGAAGGACATGTGCTGAGTCCCAGACTCTCTTGCTCTCCTGGAACCAATGGTTCACAGCTGGAACTTCTGATGTCTCACCTGACCAGGGAAACAGGGGTGGCTGGAACAGAGTATGCACTGAAAGCGCGTTAGGCCGGTGGTACTTTGCCGTAGGGAGTTTTGGGCATACTCGGCCAAGGGCAGGAAACTATGTCTATGGCAGTAAACTATGAAACTATGGCTATGGTAGTACAATCTCAGGTATCGCCCAATTTCCTGGATCTTACGCTCAGTCTGGCCATTAGTCTGTGGGCGATATCCAGATGATAAGCTGATGAAAACCCCAAGGAGTTGGAAGAAGACTTGCCAAACCCTGGCGATGAACTGAGGTCCCCTGTCAGAGATGATATCCTTGGGTAGACCATAGTTACGGAAGACATGTTGGAATAAGTGTTCAGCGGTCTCAGAGGGATGAGTTGGCATGCCTTAGAAAACCTGTCCATGAACACCAGGACACAGGTATTGGAGTTGGAAGGAGGGAGGTCAGTAACGAAGTCTACTCCGAGACGGCACCAGGGTCGACAAGGAATGGGTAATGGAACCAGTTTACCTTGAGGCAGGTGACGGGGGTTTTGGACATGGCACAGACTGAGCAACTCTTAATGAATTGGGAGACTTCTCAGGTCATGTTGGGCCACAAGTACTGGTTTTGGAGGAGCGAGAGAGTTTGCTGGCTGCCTGGGTGTCCAGAGCCCGGAGATGAGTGTACTGATTTTATAAAGGTCAGTCGAAGGGATGATGGAACATAAACCTTCCCTTCTAGACCTCCCGGCGGAGCAGGCTCAGAGTGAGTGGCTTCCGTGATCTGGTCATTCATGGACCACTGAATGGGACTTACTATAATGGCTGGAGTGAGTATGCGTTCTGGAGGTGTGTTGTTCTTCTCGGTGTGATGGATGTGGGAGAGTGTCAGCCCTTTGGTTCTTTGATCCAGGTCGGTAAGTGACTGTGAACAGTCAACAGTGAAGTTGAAGTGGGTGAAGAAAAGTGAAGGGTTGTTGAGGGTTGAGGGTTGAGGGTTGAGTCTTTTAGCGTCTTGAAGATATTCCAGATTACGATGATCTGTGAGCTCACTGGGCCCCGGGGCTATGACTTACTACAGGGCCCCCCATCACAATAATGATATATATAGCTTTGTGACGAGAGGGACGGGGCCGAGAGCCGTGGGAACGGAGCGAGGCCGGTGGAGTAATTGATAATGAGCAACACCTGCACCACTCACCGGTCTCGAGTCTCACGGAGGAGCTCCGGAAGGATAAAAGGGAGGTGTGATGACAGTGTCAGATGAGAGAGGACCAGGCCTGGAGTTTATTTTGTGTTCAGGCAGCCGATACGGCCGGCTGTGCACCACCACGCCGGGCTCGGTCTCAATGTGGTGCTGGATGAGGCCCGTTCGCCAGGAGGCCGGAGCCTGTTGCCATCCGCCATGATTGGGGAGGAGCAGGGAACGGGGGACTCGCTGCCGGCTGCCCTCAATAGGAGGAGCCATCGCTGTCCGCCAGGAGGCGGAGGAGCGGTGGGCCATCCACCAACGATGTCCAGTACCATCGCATGGCACCGCGAGTGAGAGCCTCTCAGCCGGTTGAAGACCAAGCGGCAGTGTGTCCGGGAACCGGACCTCTCTCAAATCTGTCTCTCATCATCCTTCCGTCTCCTTTTCTCTCGCCTCGTCTGTTTGTCCTTACCCCCAGGTACGCCGCGGCCGCCATCATCGGCTCCCCCAGAGGGGGGGGGGGGGGGTAGAGCGCAGTCTCGTGGGGCTCAATTGATAATGAGCGACACCTGCCCCACTCACTGGTCTCGAGTCTCACGGAGGAGCTCCGGAAGGATAAAAGGGAGGTATGACGACAGTGTCAGACGAGAGAGGACCAGGCCTGGAGTTTATTTTGTGTTTTGGTTTTATTTGTGCGCGACAGTCGTCCGCGAGGGGCTGTCGCGCTATTTTGTGTTTATTTATTTTATTAAAGTTTGTTTAAATGTCCGCCGGTTCCCACCTCCTTCTTCCCGATCTACAAACTACGTTACAAGCTTAAAATAGGATTTTTATCCAATCAAAATTTTTGATGCATCGCAATTTCATAATTCTTGTTACCAATTCCAATATCTCAAAATAAAAAATAAATAAAAATACAATAGCCTACGTGAAAAAAACTTACTGAAGACAAGTAAACAGTCATGAATTACAATAG